GAGGAGGAGGACGATGGGGAGTCGGATGCCAGGGTGTTGCTGCTTGAGAAGGTGCGCGGGCAGGTGCTTGTTGCGGAGGACGGAGGAGGATGAGGTGGTGGACGTCAAGGAGGATATGGGCGTCGAGGTGGATGTCCGCCTCGCGGCCTCCAGGCGTGACCCGCGGTTCCCCGCCGGGACATTGCAGCGGGGGGTCCCCATTCCACGCTGCTGCCTCTGATTGTTGTTTTTTCCCACATAGAAGGCGGCCCAACCCTGTAATACATGCAATCGAGGTGCGCCGCGGCCTCTATGTAGAAAGTGCGCGTCTTCCACACGGTTTTTACATGTTTGTTTCTTTATTCGTTCCTTATAACGAAGCAGCGGCGGCGGCGTTGGGCTTCGCATTGAAAGGTTGAATAGGAACACGGCTAGCCATCCATTTTTTGATTCAGCTCTAAATTTCGACTGGGGGGCGGTCCGACGACGACGACAACCGGGGGCCGCATGGGACGCTAGCGAGAGGGTGATGCCAATGGACGTCCCCGCGCCCCGTCGCGCCGAAACATGTTCGGAGCTACGTAAAACGGAACTGTCATATGTATTTTTGGCCGATGCGCTGCGTTGCCCAATTCCGGTGCGTGCTATGTTGAGAACGTGCGCAGGAACGCGACGCCCGAATGCTTCCCCGGGAAGTCCGCGCGGGGGGTGCTGCAGTTTCGACCATGGGACGTCAAACTTTGGACGCCCCCGAACGTTCCGTATACTCTTGGCGACATTTTTTTGGGTCAGGGGACGGTCCGAATCGGATGGGCGCGTACCCCGTCACAACCTATAGATGTATGATGTGATATGATATGTTATGATATGATGTGCTATGTTATGAGATGGTACGAAAGGATCAATTATATATAACGTTGGGATAATTACTCCGTTTCATAAAATATAGGCCGCGCCATCACTCGACCTTGGACCCGCTCACAGCTCAATCCCTCTGTATGGGTCACTTGAGATTGTCAGTGCCACCGCCGTCATCTCCGTTGTCATGCCGATGTTAACGCGATGTTGCATTGTATCCGTTTGCGTTTTGACGCAGCGTGGCCCTGGGAATCCTTCTCCAACGTTGTCGTTCTTGCTTCGTTGGCCGGCCATCCCGAGCTTTGCGAACACTCGCGATTCCGCGTCGGGGCGATTTTGCATCCCATGTGGTCGTCCGCGGCACGCGGGGCCAGCTTTCGCAATTTTCCGCCGATGGTCAAAAAGTTGAGTACCTAGCAAGTACAAACTCACATGGTTTTGCAATTTCTGTTTCAAAAATTGCGTGCGCTCGTTCTTCTGCGAATTCTCAAGACAATCGTAGATTTCTCAGTATGCTCATTCCATACGGCCAAACAGGCCTCTCGCGCCGCACGCCGAAATCATTCTAACGCCCTTGCGCGCGTGGTTTTTGGCGGGGTCACGGTCTGTGACAAATGATAATTACCATGCGGGCCATTTTCGCGCGACGGCCGCGCGCGCGTAATTCCTTCCAAAATCTGCATCGCCGACGCGAGGACGCCGTCATCGTCGTCGGCGCGGTCATCATCGGCGCCGTCACTGCCTTTGCCGTCGACGTGCAGTCATCATCGTCACCAGCATCGCTACCACCATCATCGCGTTTACCGTTGTCGACGTCGCCATGATATCGCGTTGAACTGCCCGCTGGGAAGTGCCCAGCGGTCAGTCGGGGGGCGTGTTGCGGCCATTTTGGGCCGGCATCGGGGCTCCCCTAGGCCATTTTGGAACCCAATTGTGCCGTCTTGGGGTTCTCTTGGGCTGCCTGGAAGCCTTCTCGGATGGTTTGGGGCGACTTTCGGGCCTCCTAGTCGGTCTCGGAAGTGCAGAAAACCAAAGAACAAGGCATCCCTCAAATCATGCAAACACTTCGGGGAATCAAGGTTTTTGTTCGGCGTTTTGGAAGCCTCCTTCTTTTGGGTCTGCTTTGGGCCTTGGGTCGTCTTCGGGTGTCTGGTGGGTGTCAGGGGCCGCTTGGGGCCTATCGGGGGGTGGCATTCGGCCGCCCTCCTCACCGATGTGGGCCCGCAGCCGGGGCCCAGCAAGGGCTTACAGGAGCTCTGACACGCCTGGGGGGCCTCCTGCATGGGTGTCCAGGGGTTTCCAGGGGCCATGGATCGTGGGGGTCCCCAGGGTCTCAGGGCCCCCGGATTCGGGAGGTCCGATTTCGGGGGGGGGGGTCAACCTATATTCGTGAATATGTAGCTGCATGTGTAGATAAACGGATATTCATATGCATATATATATATATATGTTTATGTGTATGTGCAGCTGTATGTATACGTATATGCTGATGCATCTGTATATGTTTATGCATGAGTAAATGTATATAGAAATGCATATGCGTGTGCAGATGTACATGTATAGACGTATGCACATGTCTATGCATGTATATATATATATATATATATATATGCATATGCCTGTGTACATGTACGTGTATATGTATATGTGACTGTATGTATATATGTGTGTATATATGTGTTTTTACTTATGTATATGCATATGCATGTGCATATGCGTATGCGTGTACATATGTATACGTACATGTGCATGTATATGTATATGTACACCTATGTATATGTAAATGTATGTGTATATGTATATGTATGTGTATATGTATATGTATATGTATATGTATATGTATATGTTTATGTGTATGCATATGTATATGTATATGTAAATGTATGTATATATATATATATATGCATATGCACATGCATATGTCTATGGCTACGTATGTGTATATGAATGTGTATATGTACACGTATTTGTATATGTAGATCTAGATGTTCATGTATATGGGTATGGGTGTGTGTTTGTCTGTCTGCATGCATGTATGTATGTACCTACGTATGTATGTTCGTGTGCATGTTTGTTTGTTTGTACGCATGTTTGTATATGCATCTAGATGTAAGCATTCATTATCATTATTGCCATTATTATTCTCAATTTATAAAGGTATATGCATGTGTAACCTGGGGCACTTCGACCCCCCCTCGCCTAAACGGCCCCCCATCCAGATCGTCCGCCCCAGGATCTCCCTAGACTCCTGGACGCCCTTGCGGACGGCCCCCTCTGTTTTCTGGGGCTCCTGAAGCCCCTGCTGGGCTTAGGCAGCGCGTCCGATAGGGGGCCACATGCGAACCCTACCCCCGCCCCCCACGATTTCTGCGGGGGAGGGTGGGGTTCACTTCGCTCAGGAGCTCCCGAGCAAAGTGAACCCCACCCTCCCCCTCAGAAGTCGTGGGGGGTAGGGGTAGGGTTCGCGTGTACCCCCCTGTCCGAATCGGTCAAGGAGAGCGGCCGAGTGGCCCCGCGAGACTGGCGCGCGAGATCGGGGCGCGAGACGGGGGCGCGCGCTCGCTCTCCGGCGCCCGGCCGCTCGGTCCGCGGGCCCGAACGCGCGGGTGCCGGGCCCGTGGACGAGGTCTCCGGAGAGTCGGCGTCCTCCCTTTGGACGCCCGATATGGGTACTGAAAGAATGGGTACTATGCCCAACAGCGGATCTTGTTCATTTTGAGCAAGATCCGCTGTCCACGCCGCCGCGGCTTGTGTCCATTCGAGACAGGAGGCCGCCCGCCCAACAGCGGCCGCTGTTGGTTTGGGACAACATTGGTTGTTGGGCATAGTGCCCCTTCTTTCCGTACCCATTTCGGGCGTCCAATTTCCCTGGCGGTCGGCGGCGAGATCCGGGCCCCCTGCATCTCTCAGGAGGAAAGGAGACACAGACACAATTGATCTTCGATGTCCCAGAAGAGATGGGAAACTATGGGAAGTGGCGGGGAAGGCAGAAACCCAGAAAAGATGGGAAAATATGGGGGATATTTTTACTTGTGTGTATTTATTTGTGTGTCCTGGGGCTCCTTCAATCTCGCCGGGCGCGGGGGGCAGGGTTCGGAAGTCGTCGAGCATGCGGCAAAGTCCGAACCCCATCCCTCGGAGCGTGGATTACCTGCCCCGCTTGCGCTTCCAGGCAGAGCCAAGTCACACCACGCGCCTCCTCGTCAAGCGGCCTGACCAGTACAGGCCGTAGTTTGGCATGGCTTGGTATCTCTTGGACGCGAGGGTGGTCAAAAGCGAGGTAGGTTTGTTTTCCCCCTAATCCCCGCCTCCCATCGAGTCAGGAGGATCGATGGCTGGTGGGGCAGGGTTCGGATGTCGCCACCTGTTTCCTCACACGTCGCCCAGCCACGAATGCACGAGGCGCTCTGAAGATGGCCTCGCCTTGGTGGGATCGAGGGGTTGGCATCTCTATGTTGGCGGAAGGTGGCGGCCGGCTGACTTTGGGCTCTTCCGCCAGCGGAAGTTGGCGGAGGCTCTGCGGGAGGCGGCGGGAGCAAAACCAGCCCACTGTTTCTCCTCCCCCCGAAGAGATGTCACAATGCTTGTTCAGGGTTTCCGAAGTCGGCCACGTAGGCAGCTCCAGAGCGATTGGCGGCGCGCAGAGGAGGGGGTGGCGCGTAGGGGTGGCTTTCTAAGAAGGCGGGAGGGCGGGGGGATTCTCAGAAGGGGCCTTCTCAGAAGGGCCCCAGGCTTCTGAGAAGCCTCTGGGTCCTTCTCAGAAAGCCCACCCCCTCACGCCACCCCTTCGTGTGCGCTGCCACAAATACTACATGGGGCTCATCAGAAAGGTCTTCGTCTGCGAGGAATCGAGAGTCTAGAGGTTGACTTCTCTTCTCCCACGGAAGGCGGCGGAGGCAAAACGTGGGCGGGTCCGTCGTCGAAACGCTGGCCGAAGCCAGCGGAAGCAACCACTGCCCCCCTCCCCTTACGAGATGTCATTCGGTTTGCATCCAGGAGTGGTTGTGGTCGGGCCACATGCGCACTTTTCGTCGGGTGCTCCAATCACCCCACGGATTGCACGCAGGCCTAGTCTGCCCCAGGCTTGGCACATGAAGCTGCACCATGTTCGCTCCAATTCATGCTCGGGGTGTGCTTCATCTGCCATCGAGCTCTGGATCGAGTCTATGGTCCAGACGCATGCTTCGAGGCTGCGATGCCAGCGCAATTCGTGCAAGCCTTCCCGTCTCCGCAGGTTTGTTTTTGGCTGCGAGGTGAGGAACACATCCTACAGCCCTTCCTCGTTATTTCTCTTCTGCTATCTCCTCCGTCGTGCTCCTCCCCCTTCTCCTCCCTTTCCTCCCCCTCCTTCTCTCCCTACACTCTCCCCCTTTCTCCTCCTCCTCCTCCTCGTCCTCCTCCTCCTCCCCTTCCTTCTGCTTCCTCCTCCTTGGTGACAGGATCTGCATATTCAGGAGTGGACAGGACAAGCAGGGAGAGAGAGGAACTGGATGAGCAAGGACGCTAACCTCGCTCTGGTCTATCTCTCTCTCTCGCTCTCTCTCTCTCTCTCTCTTTCTCTCTCCCGTTGACCTTTGTCCCAGGCCTCCTCTGCGTGTCTCGCCTCGGCACGAGCGGGGGCCTGCCCCGACGGGGAAGTTCGGCCTGCCTCAGCCCGCATTCCTTGCCGATGAGTCATTGCCTTGCTCGGGGGCGGAAAAGAGGGGGGCGATGACTAGGGGGGGGTGGATATCATGGCGGGGGCCATGGTATTTCCAGAGATCTCATGGCGTCTCTTCTTGTTTCATTACGTCCCTGGTCCCCCCGCTGGGCCGCGCACATGCCGCCGGTCATGATTTGCACCCCCCCCTCTTGGACACCCCCCTCTTTGCCGCTCCTGACTTGCAAAAGTAGCAAGACGTGTGCAAGCGCTGACGTCCATGGACGGCAAAGTATCCGTTGCGCAACTACCAGGGCTATACGACATGCGAGCAGCGAGCATGCTATCCCTCACCACGAGAGCCCACACGCGCTTGGTCATCGAACTGCTGGGCGAGGAAGTTTTCCACGATGTGGAAATTCCAAGTCCCGCAGCATGTCTGATATCCTGCACAGGAGCTGTGAGAGAGCTAAACACTGGGCGGAGCACTGTCAGGCTGTGCATGTGCTGCTGCTCTTCCTCCTCCTCGTCCTCCTCTCCCCTCCCCCTCTCCCTGCCCCTCTTCCTACTTCCTCCCCTCGTCCTCCCATCGCACGGGTAGCAGTACGAGAAGGAGGACGTGGTGTCGAGGGAGGGAAGGACCCCTTCCTCCTCAGACTCCCCCCCTCCCGCCCACAAGTCCTCCGGATGGCCCTTGCAGGTCGTCTGCCCGCCTGCGGCAGGCGCGCAATCCTTCCACGACGGCTGGCGTCCACCGCGGCGCCATGGACGCGGCAGGGAAGCAGGCTCGGCGTCTGGCCGTGCGCTGCACTTGCTGACGGCCGCCATATCAGCCCTGCCAGGAAGCTGGGCGCACACACGACGTGGTCAGTCACCGCCCACCAGACCACCCCGACCCAACCCGAAGCCCTCAATTTTTGCCCTCCATTTCCAGTGGGGGGGGGGGGTCGGGGAACGTCAACCCGTACCCCCCCCCAACCCGAAATTCGGGTCAAATTCGGGTCTTCGGGTTGGGTTAGGGGTGGTCTGGCAGGCAGTCAAGGCAGCTGGACGCCCACGACGTGGTCCGCCCGGGCAGCAGAGCCGGACGCGCGCGCGCGCGCGGCACTCTCCAGACAGGGCCCCGCCTGCGAGGATCGAAGGCCGGCGGCGGCCAGCGAGAGCAGAAGGTGCGCCCCCAAGGGAGGGCGACGTTTCTGGGTGCAGGTTTTCTGGAATCGTCCGCGTGTGGCCATGTGAAATCGACGCGAAGATCGGGACAAAACCGGATCGGGATAACTCTCGAAATTTCTGAGGATCGGCGGGTTTGGAGGATGCATTGGGCGCCGCGGCCGCTCCAGAGCGTTCCGGAACGCTCTGAGAGCGCTCCGGAACGCTCTGGAGCGATTTATCCCGATCCTAGCCCTGTTTTACTCTCATGCAACGGGCCCCTCAGGCTGGGCTGCCGCACATGTGCCCAGGCAGCCGACGGCACGATTGTCTCAGGGATTATGGCCCCAGATGTCCCGACCCCTTTTCCGGGGCAGCTCTTTGCGTCCCCGATCTGTTCGTGGTGGTCCCCGGGCCCGGTAACGGCCCCAAGTGGCCGAAGCCAAAGACGAGCGCCCAGATGGAACAGGTTAGATCGTCGGAGGTCTGGGTGCAACCAGGGCGTCGCCTCCAGATGCTCCACATGTGTGAGTCCAGCCATGTGCGTGCTCCAGCTTCCGGGTATACACGGGCGAGGCGTCGCGCGCGAGAGGTCGGCCTCTCGTTTTTTTGCCGCCCGCCCTTCGGCACGTATGCGTATCAAGCGCTGCCGCTCGCACCGCCGTCGCCGTGTGGTCCAGGGTGTGGGTCCTCGCAGCATGGATGCCGGTGGCCCCTTGCTCGGCCGTGTGCGCGTCTGGCATGGCGCTCCGCCCGCTCTCCCGTCTCTCCTCCCCTCCTCGCCCTCCCCCGCAGCGCACGGATCCCAGCGTCCCCCCCCCCCTCTCGCTCGCAGACTGATGGCGACGGCCTCCGGGGGGCGGGGTCCTGGGAGCGGCCCGGATCTCACACGCCGGTGGCCCCAGGAGGGCGGCGATGGATTCCTGTGGTCGCCCAGGCAAAGACCCTTCTCTGAGAGGCACGGCCTCGGGTGCCTGCCCGCGGAGCGCACGGCTGCGCAGCCTGAGCGTGACCGGGCTGGCGCCACCTTCGGGTTTTGCTAGAAGTGCCCCTTGGCCCAAAGTCCCCCCAAGATTTCCAAGGAGGCCAGAGGAGCAAGAGGAGGAAGAGGAAGAGGATGAGGATGAGGATGAGGATGAGGATGATACTGATGGTGATAATGATGATGATGATGATGATGATGATGATGATGATGATGATGATGATGATGATGGTGGTGGTGGTGGTGGTGATGATGCTGATGATGCTGATGGTGATGATGATGATGGTGGTGGTGGTGGTGATGATGATGAGGATGAGGATGAGGATGATGATGATGTTGATGTTGATGATGATGCTGATGCTGATGCTGATGCTGATGCTGCTGCTGATGATGATGATGATTATGATGATGCTGATGATGATGATGATGATCATGATGATGATGATGATGATGATAATTATGATTATGATGATGATGATGATGATGATGATCATGATGATCATGATGATGATGATGATGATGATGATGATGATGATGATGATGATGATGATGATGATGATGATGATGATGATGATTGATGATGATTGGTGATGATGATGCTGATGATGATGGTGGTTGTGGTGAGGAAGAGGAGGAGGAGGAGAGGAGGAGGAGGAGGAGGAGGAGGAGGAGGAGGACCAGTGGAAACCCAAGAGTCATCAACGATGTTGGACTTCACCCTCCCTCCATGCTCCCTCCTCAGAGGCCCCTACGACGGTTCATTACCATAGAGGGAACTGCCTCGCTGGAAGACCAGAGTTTGAAGATCCTGAAGCGTACCAAAACATTGTTCTCGGGATGTCAACGCCACGTATCAACCGGACTGCTGCATCTTGACGATCCAGAATCGTGCCAGAACGCCACTTTTGGGATTTCAACACAGCGAATCAACATAACTATTGCGCCCGTATAGTCCTGAATCCTTCCCACACGCCAGTTCTGGTACGTTGATCATGGGAACCCGTGCAACTCTTGCAAATGTTGAAAGCGACTGTGCGCGGCGCTAAGGCGAGAGCCACATTTTGAAAAGGAGCCGCCCTCAATCCGTGAAACTCTTGCAAATTTTGAAAACGAACGTGCGCGGCGCTAAGGCGAGAGCCACATTTCGAAAACCACCCGCCCTCAATCCGTGAAGCTCTTACATTTTTTTCAACGAATGCGCGCGGCGCTAAGGCGAGAGCCACATTTTGAAAATCACCCTCCCTCAATCCGTGAAGCTCGTGCAATTGTTTGAAACGAATGTGCGCGGCTCTACGGCGAGAGACACATTTCGAAAGCGACCCGCTCTCCATCTGTGAAATTCTTGACACTCTTTAAGATTCAGGGTTATACATGGTGGGGACGGCGCAGGCGAAACGCCCGGCCCGCCCTACAAACTGGCCCCGGGGTGCGACATGGAGGAGTTATCTATAAGGAGAAGGAATGGAGGAGGAAGAGGAGGAGGAAGAGGAGGAGGAAGAGAAGGAGGACGAGGAGGGAGGAGGGAGGAGGGAGGAGGGAGAAGGGAGGAGG